ATGTATGTATGTATGTATGTATGTATGTATGTATGTATGTATGTATGCATGCATGCATGCATGCATGCATGCATTTATGTATGTATGTATGTATGTATGTATGCATGCATGCATGCATGCATGTATGTATGTATGTATGCATGTATGTATGTATGTATGCATGTATGCATGTATGTATGTATGTATGTATGTATGTATGTGCATATGTATGTATGTATGTATGAATGTATGCATGTATGTATGTATGTATGTATGAATGTATGTATGTATATACATGTATGTATGTATGTATGTATGTATGTATGTATGTATGTATGTATGTATTGTACACAACTTATTTGTGAACATCAGGAGAGATGCACCCGGCTGAAAAAAAACCAACAAACTTTTAACTCAAGTAACTTTACTTTGTATTTGAGTACATACTTTTAGTACTCTTTCCATATATGTACGCTGATACAGTTTTCCATCTACAGAGGTGGATCCTTGTGCTGATGGCAGCCATGGCTGTGAGCAGGAGTTTCTGAGCACAGAGGACAGCTGTGTGTGCAGATGCAGAAAAGGCTTCACGCTCAGACCTGATGGAAAAACATGCAAAAGTATGAAAGTACTCGTGTTTTTACTCTTCTTTTTATGTTTGAAGTGGGTTGGAAATTATTTTTAGACTTTTAAAGCTTAAAAACCTGCATCATTTGATCATGAAGATGGGAAGACTTCATTCATTTATAAGTAAAGTATTTTTTAAGTTTCTGAATTGTGGCGAAATTTGAAAAAGTTGTAAAACAAAATCAAGTTTTGAGGATGTGTTTTTCATGAAAACTTACAAACTTTCATGTTTAAATAATCTGTAAAATCCTGAAAATGTTATAAATCTATGAAGTAAAAAACATTATTATAGGCCTTTTGATACAGTTTTCCATTTGCATGGGATACATTTTCATTGTTATGCTGATGATACACAGTTATATTTGTCCATGAAACCCAATGAATCCAATCAGCTACTCAGACTACAAGCATGTCTTAAAGACAAAAACCTGGATGACCCTAAATTTTCTGGTTTGAACACAGACAAGACTGAGGTTTTAGTTTTTGGACCTGAGCATCTTGGGAATTAATTTTTCAGTCTTTCTCCCTCCTTAGATGGCATTAATCTGTCCTCCAGCTCTAATGTTAAAAATCTTGGTGTTATGTTTAATCAGGACATGTACAGTATTTTATCCCCCACATCAAAAACGTTACTAGAACTGCTTTCTTCCACCTGCGTAATATCACTAAAATTAGAAACATCTTATCTAAAAATGATGCAGAAAAACTAGTCCATGCATTTGTCACGTCTAGACTGGACTATTGCAAAAGTTTATTATCTGGGTGTTCAAAAACTTCTTTAAAACATCTTCAGTTGATCCAAAATGCTGCTGCCAGAGTCTTAACTGGAGTTAGTGGGAGAGATCATATCTCTACAGTTTTAACTTCTCTCCATTGGCTCCCTGTCAAATCCAGAACTGAATTCAAAATCTTACTTCTAACCTACAAAGCTCTCAACAACCTAGCTCCATCTTATATTACATATTTGATTGTTCCTTATTTTCCTAACACATTCATACACCGCCACCGGTGTATGAATGTGCGTGTGAATGGGTGGATGGCTGGTACTGTAAAGCGCCTTGGGGCCCCTCATAGGGGGCTGGAAGGCGCTATAGAAGTAAGCTCCATTTACCATTTACCATTTAACACAACACTTTGTTCTCAGACTGCAGGTTTACTTGTGGTACCTAGAGTTTCCAAAAGCAGAATGGGAGGAAGATCTTTCAGTTATCAGGCTCCTCTCTTTTGGAACCAACTTCCAATCTCTGTCCATGAGGCTGACACATTGTCCAGTTTTAAGACTAGGCTTAAATATTTCCTGTTCCTGTCTGTTTGTTTCTGCTTCCTGTCCTTACAAACCCCAGCCGGTTGAAGCAGATGACCACTTGTCCTGACCCTGGTTCTGCTAAAGGTTTCTTCCTCATGAGGGAGTTTTTTCCTTTCCACTGTTGCCTTCATGCTCAAGATGAGAATTCTGTGATGGAGTTAAATTCAAAGCAGTCTGCTCCTCAGATGAATAGTATTAACCTACTTCTTATGTATATGAATGTTTCAGTTCAGTGCCCTGAGAAGACTTGAGATGACTTCTGTTGTCACTTGGCGCTATTTAAATAAACTGAATGAATTTAATTTCCAGAGGTGGATCCTTGTGCTGATGGCAGTCATGGATGTGAGCAGGAGTTTCTGAGCACAGAGGACAGCTGTGTGTGTAAATGCAGAGAAGGCTTCATGCTCAGACCTGATGGAAAAACATGCAAAAGTAAGTGTATTTTATGTTCAATAAATACTCAGAATTTTTCTTAAAAGATTTTGAGAAAGGCAGCACTTTTTTTTTTACAATGAAATTTATCGTTTGCCTCCATTCAAACATTACATGCAATATTTAGATCAGTAAATTTGGAAGACAAAAAGTCCTGCAGACCCTTTGTTTTGCTCATTACCAAGCAATCAGTGTTCTCAGGGATGTGTGGTATTTTGTAACAAATTTTAATCTCAGTGATCCATGCTTGATTTGGCAAAGTTTTTATGTTGAATGCCCTTCCTGATGCAACTTTTCTCATTTATCCAGCCTTGATGATGGACACGTAGACAGATAAGGCCATGCAGGAGTCTCCATGGACTATAACATTTGTAGACAACATCATGATCTGCAGTAAGAGAAAGAAGCAGGTGAAAGAGAGCCTAGAGAGGTGGAGGTATGCTCTGGAGAGAAGAGCAATGAGACAAAGTCCATGTGTGTGAACAAGAGGAAGAAAGTCAGGAAGAACAGTGAAGCGGCAAGGAGTAAAGGTGTTGAAGATGAATGAGTTTAAGCAAGTGAACCATTCCAAGGAACGGACAGTTCACGAGAGAGGTGAAAACGAGAGTGCTGGCAAAATGGAGGAGTGTCAGGAGTGATTTGTGACAGAAAGATCTGTGCAAGAGTGAAAACGTTTTGCAAGATGTTAGTGAGATCTGCTGTAATTTATGTTTTGGAGATGGTGACTCTGACAAAATGCACAGTTCACAGTTCATCTTTCGAGTCTGGAAGTCCTTAGTCCTTCTGTAATACCCTTGAGGCTTTGGTCAATTTTACCTCTGGTTACCATAGTATGTTGGTTCCTGCCCCATCAAAAAAGTAATCAATCTTTCTGCAGTCAAACTCAAGTTACTCTCTAATTTGCAAATTCATTCTACGTAATACATCTCACTTATCAAACCAGTATCAGAAATTTCTGGCTGCACTCCTACTGACCTCCCCCCACTCACCTGGATCATCAACAACCACCCAGCATTCACTATTGGTTGCATCCTGGATGTTCACCGCAGAGGTTGTGGCTTTCGGTATCTTGTAGGCTGGGAGGGTTATGGTCTGGAGGAGATGTCATGGATTCCACATTCTTCGATTTTTGATCCCAGTCTCAACTCATCCTTCTATAAGGCCCAACCAGAGAAACATGAGATTGCAAAGAGACGATTCTTCGTGTGTGTGAGTGTGTGTGTGCACTGTGGCAAGAGTGGCAGGGCGAAGCAAATCATCTTCAGCTGTTTCCAGTTCTGTTGATGAAGAACCTCAGTATATAAAGCTGCCTGGACCATCTAAACTCAGCTGGAACATTGTCCCATATTGGTACTTTGTCGGACCTTTGTGAGATCATGTCTGATGTTCAAAATTAAACAAATCTTTGTTTTCCTTGTGCTCCTCGTAGCTCTTGATTTTCTGTTCCTTATTCCGTTGACCATCCTCATGACTAGTCCTTGTCCAGCTCCTTGTGCTCTCCTGGATTCACCTTCAGGTCATCTACAACTGACAATGATAAAAGTACCACTGAACATCATGCCATCCATCCCTGAGGTCTGTCCTGCAGCTCTCACTCCCCACTACTTACCTGGTCACCTTGGTCTGCTCCACCATCCTGGAATCCCCTGATCCTCTCTCTCCAACTTGCAAACAATAAAACAACAAGTAAACCTACTTTACCTGAGGAACCACAGAGCAATACTCACCATATCTCCTCTCCTACAGACCCTCCTGTGTTCCAGTGACTCATTCTTGTAAATAAACACTTACCTTTTTACTGCTTGGTCTCTCGAGTCTCAGTTTGCACTCTGGATATCTTCTTTGTTTATAGAAATGTGATGATTTATTATAACAATATTTGTTATAACAGTTGTAAAGTCAGACGATGGTTCATGATGAGGTAGCAATAAGTCAGTAACTTTTCTCTTGCAGAGACGGACCACTGTGCTGATGGGAATCCTGGTTGTGAGCAGGAGTTTATGAGTACAGAAGATTCATGTGTGTGTAAGTGCAGGGAAGGATACAGACTGCAAACAGATGGAAAAACATGTCAAAGTGAGTTTCGACTCTGTCATGAAAACTAATGTCTTGTAAGATACAGATTAAGATATTTTACATGTACAAACCTAATATAAAGTGTCCAGCTACAACCCTCTATAAATTCTGGCATGTTCTAAATCAGGACATAATACAAATGATCTGGTCTTCTCCATGTTTCAGCACGTTTTAAATTTAACTTCAAATGTGCAATAATACATGACAGATTCCAACATATCTTTATTTTCCTGGTCACCTAATCAAAATGAAAAAGCTGTGTGTCAAAAAGCACACCTCGTGATTTAAAAGGTGATAGAACCACTTTTAGCAGTAAAAGCTCAGTCGTGTTTTTTTTGTTTTTTTTTTGCATTGTTGTAGAAGTCCCTCACATCATTGTAGTGTGATTTTTTTGGACCCACTCTACTTTACAATATTGCTTCAGTTTATTGAAGTAATCAGACATTCTTTTTTGCTCAGCTCTCTAAGTCATACCACAGAGTTTCAACCAGTTGAGGTTTGGAGTTTTCCTGGACCATTGAAACATCTTGAACTGTTTCTTTTTAGCCACTCTGTTGTAGATTTTCTGCTGTTTGGGACCACTGTTCTGTTAAATTACCCAAATTTAGTCAAGTTATCAAAGATGGACCGATGCCCTCACATTTGACTCTAGAAGTCTGACTGTAGAAGTTTGATAAGAAAATTTTGATATACAAAGATTTTCATTATCAATTTAATGACTGCATGGTGCCCAAGTCCTTTAGCTGCAAAGCAGGACCAAATCATCATCCCTCCACTACCATGCCTGACAGCTGGTAAGAGATATTTGTGCTGATCTGTTGTGTTTAGTTTTTGCCAAACACGGTCTTGAGCATCACTGAACATCTGCCTCATCTGTCCAATAACGTTAGTCCAGAATCAGTGGTTCATTCAAATGCAAAATTCTCCTACATCATGGCTGAAACCTTCTGTCCATGTGCAGTGACTCATTTTTATATGAACTATTTAATAAATAGGTCACTATTTATTATTACTTTATTTATTATTATTACTATTTAAGTTCTACCAAACCCCCGAGCTTGTGTTTACTAAATTCAAACACGAGTGAAGTTGGAAGTCCCTCAGCCTCAGAAATGTACTGCCTGCAGATTTGCACCCCCCACTTCATTCTTTTACAATAATAATGTATGATTCATACAGTAAGTGGTATCTAACATTATTGTGTAAGAAGTGATGGGCCTCTTTTCTTTGCTTTATTCCCACCTTTATGTCTGACCGCTATAATTTAGTTACTTCTGTGGGTGTGTGCTGCTCTCACAACTACAGCTGCACACACACTGACTTCAGTCGGTGGGCCGAATAAGTTTTTACACCCCACTTATTTAAGAGTGTCTCTGACTCACATTCTATGACATTCCTTATATTTCTGCATCTAGGCATCATTTTTGATTGTATGTTTTGCACACTTCATATTTTGTTTCTTTCAGTGTAAAATCTGTGCACCTTTTCACTTGTGTGGCCCCAGATAGTTTTTATGTCCTGATGTATAAAACCTCAGAATTGAATGAGGGTGGACTTTCTTTTTCTCATGAATTCAGAATATATTCAAATATCTGAATCTTTTCAGATTTTGCCTTTTTTCCCCCTCTGTTTCAGTATTTATGTATTACATAATTTTGTCTGAACTTCAAACCAGTCCTAAGGTCAGCCTTTAATCCCAGGGCTGAGCACTCAGTGCTCTACTCGCTCAGATTAAGCAGATATTTTCTGTTTGTCATTATATCAAATTTATTTTAGATGGGTAATATTAATATTCTGTTGTTTAAATTTGTAATATTTCCTTATATATATATATATATATATATATATATATATATATATATATATATATATTTCCTTATATATATGTATATATATATATATATATATATATATGTATGTATATTGGTGTATATGGTGGATATTGTATACATTTATAATTTACGTTTCAATCTTTCAGGTCTGGATCTGTGTCAGACGGTGGATCACGGCTGTGAGCATCAGTGTGTCAGCAGCTCTGACTCCTACATCTGTAAATGTTTTGATGGATTCAAACTGGCTGATGATGGGAAGAGCTGCAAACGTATAATCCAAGCTATTTTTGTTTAGATTCTCAGCCTAAGAAATAATGAAGTAAAAGTGAACGTGTATTTCTCCTGTCATTGCTTCTAACAGAACCCGACTGTCACGGTGGGATCATGGATTTAGTTTTTGTGATTGACGGCTCCAAGAGTCTGGGACCTGCCAACTTTGAGCTGGTAAAGCAGTTTGTTAACAGCATTGTGGACTCTCTGAACATTTCCAGGATGGGCACACATGTAGGCCTCATCCAGTACTCCACCAAAGTGCGTACAGAGTTTACTCTGGGCCGGTACGTCACAGCGCAGGGCGTGAAGCAGGCTGTGACCCAGATACAGTACATGGGTCGGGGCTCCATGACGGGCTCGGCCCTGCGTCACATGTTTGAGTTCAGCTTTTCGGACAAAGAAGGTGCCAGGCCAAACATCCCACGAGTCAGCATTGTGTTCACTGATGGAAGAGCACAGGATGATGTTTCTGAGTGGGCCAATAAAGCAAAGAACTCTGGTACTCGTCATCTCTTCTCTTGACTAATCAAAATATGTTATTTATATCAGCTTCATGCCACCAGTTTTCTGTTGCTTTCAGGGGTCACCATATACACCCTGGGCATTGGAAAAGCCATTGAGCAGGAGCTGAGAGAGATCGCCTCTGAACCTGCTGAGATGTATCTGTACTATGCAGAAAACTTTGAGAAAATGGGAGAAATTTCAAAAAAGCTCAAGTCCAGGATGTGTAAAGGTATGCTAAGTAAAGTTGAACAACTTTGCTAGAAAACAAGCTGGAACTCAAATGAGCCTTAGGAAAAAACTCAAATAATGTGAAAAGTTAGCTCAATGTTATTTCAGGCCAGGTAGAGTTTCTGCAAGTGCAGTTTTACAAAGAGCTTCACATTAATATAGTGCATTACTGCCACCTCCTGCTGCCACGGTGCAAATATAAATCATTGTGAAGATCTGTCTTCTGCAGCAGCAGAACTTCAGTCACACACTCCAGGATCAGTCTCAACAGGCTAAAGAAGAAAACGAGTCTTGCAGTAAAGAGTTAATAAAAAGTGCTCTGAGACACTTTCTCATCATATTTTGTTTTTATTCCAACAGAGAAACCAGTGAATGAAAGTCTGTGCCAGTGTGAGAGCGTGGTAATGTTTCAGAACCACGTCACAGACAAGCTGAAGAGCCTGGCTCAGACTAATATCCTTTTCTGTTGATTTCACTGTCTCCTCCAGAGAAATAACGATGATAATAACTCTATCAGCTAAAGGAAACATAAACATGCTTTGTATTGCCTTGGGGCAGCACGGTGGCGCAACTGGTAGAGCTGCTGCCTCTCAGCGAGCAGGTCCCTGGTTCAAACCCCGGTCCAGGGGCCTTTCTGGGTGGAGTTTGCATGTTCTCTCCGGGCATGCGTGGGTTTTCTCCGGGTGCTCCAGTTTCCTCCCACAGACCAAAAACATGCATGTTAGGCTGATTGGTAACTCTAAATTGTCCCTAGGTGTGAGTGAGAGAGTGAATGGTTGTTTGTCTCGTTTGTCTCTACGTGGCCCTGTGATGGACTGGAGACCCGTCCAGGGTGTACCCCGCCCCTCGCACAGTGATTGCTGGACATGGGCACCGGCGACCCCCGTGACCCAAAATGGAATAAGCGGGTAAAGATAATGGATGTATTGCTTTGGATTATGTTCTGAATATTTACCTGTAACCCTTCACTGTTTCGCCTGTTTCTGTGTCCACAAAGCAGCAGCTGTGGCTGAGTGGTTAGAGCAGTCGTACTCCAATGCGAGAGTTGGGTGTTCGATTACACCAGCAGTCACATGCTGAACCCCTCATTGCCTCCTATGTGTCCCATCGGTGTATGAATGTGATAAAGCACTGGTTATTCTTTGTAGAGATCTAGTAGAGTGCTGTATGAACGGGTAAATGAGGCACAGATTGTAGTGTAAATCGCCTTGAGTATCTTGATAAGATAGAAAGACGCTATATAAGTACAGTCTATTTACCGCTTACAAAATCAAGTCAAATGTATTTATAAAGCACATTTTAAAACGGCAGTTGTTACCAAAGTTCTTAACAATAAAAACAATGGCAGTACTTTAATTTAAATTAAGTAATAATAATAATTTAAAGCATCAAAAGAAATACATCAAACACCATCCATCCATCCATTTTCTTCTGCTTATCCGGGGTCGGGTCGTGGGGGTAGCAGCTTAGGGAGGCCCAGACTTCCCTCTCCCCTAGAAATTCTGTCCATAAAAGTTATGAACAGAATCGGTGACAAAGGGCAACCTTGGTGGAGTCCTCACCGGGAACGAGCCCGACTTACTGCCGGCAATGTGGACCAGGCTCTGACACCTGTCATACAGGGACCTAACAGCCCATATCAAAGGGCCTGGTACCCCATACTCCCAGAGTACATCCCACAGGGTTCCCCAAGGGCCACGGTTGAACGCCTTCTCCAAGTCCACAAAGCACATGTAGACCGGTTGGGCAAACTCCACACACCCTCCAGGACCCTGCTGAGAGTGTAGAGCTGGTCCAGTGTTCCACGACCAGGACGAAAACCGCACTGCTCCTTCTAATCTGAGGTTCGACTATCCGACAGACCCTCCTCTCCAGAACCCCCGAATAGACCTTACCAGGGAGGCTTAAGAGCGTGATCCATCATACACGTGATACATCAAACACAAAACAATAAAATACTAAAACAAATCACACTGGGTCAGAAGTCAGTGAAAACAGATGCTTAGCTAGGGCTAAACACAATAGCTTCAGTTTTTTGATTGTTAAAACTTAAAAAACTTAAGCCATTCATGCCTTAATGTCATCAAGACATTTTAACAGAGGGTGAACTGTGCATGAAGTTTTAGGTTTAAGGGCAGATAAATCTGACAATCACCAGCAAAACAAATTGAAATGAAAGACCATGTTTCCTCAGAATAGACCACAAAGGGAGCAGATACAGTGAAAACAGAAGGCGTTCAAGAATCATGCCCTGTGGAACACTGCAGGAAAGAGGTGCTGAAGCAGATAATATATTACCAACTTTAAAACAAAAGCTCCTGACACTCAGATAAGAATGGAACCATTCTAATGCTGCACCTGTAATCCCAACCCAGTTTTCTAACCGCAATATTAGGATACTGTGGTCAACAGTATCAAAAGCAGCAGTAAGGTCCTGGCGTAAGTACAAGGATCATAAATTGACCAGAGTCATTTGCTAAAAGAATATTGTCAGGTATTTCTTGTACCTAGAAATAAAAAGAACCACACAGGACAACAGAGTCAGATTTTCAACCAGGCTTTTTAAAAAGGGGAGATACAGCAAACAACCTCTAGAGTTGAGCACTGTGAACTCCAAAGGATTTCTGCATCAGCTCGTCTTTTTATTGTCACACAGAAAGAAGTGAAAACTGGACATCTTGATTATGCAGACAAATTACACAACGAGGGCAAGGTGATCTTAGAACATTTTGATTAAACGCTTACTGTAATGAGTTTCTGATACCATTTGTATCAGTTAAAGTTAAGAGAAACAATGGCAGTGTGAGATTGATGAAATATGAGTTGATATGTATAAACCTGGCAGCACGGTGGCGCAACTGGTAGAGCTGCTGCCTCTCAGCGAGCAGGTCCTTGGTTCAAACCCCGGTCCAGGGGCCTTTCTGGGTGGAGTTTGCATGTTCTCTCTCTGCATGCGTGGGATTTCTCTGGGTACTCCGGTTTCCTCCCACAGACCAAAAACATGCATGTTAGACTGATTGGTAACTCTAAATTATTCTTAGGTGTGAGTGACAAAGTGAATGGTCGTTTGTCTCGTTTGTCTCGTTTGTCTCTATGTGTCCCTGTGATGGACTTGCGACCCGTCCAGGGTGTACCCCGCCCCTTGCACAGTGACTGCTGGATATGAGCACCAGTGACCCTTGCGACCCATAAAGGAAGAAGCAGGTAAAGATAATGGATGGATGGATGGATGCAAGTATTTACTCAGTTGTGGTGAGGTGCTGTTTTCTGGTGCCTCTGCAGACATGATGGTGATGGTTTAAAACTGAGAACATAAATGTTACAAACCAGTGCTTTTAGAGGAATTCTTAGTTAAACTTGTCTAGTTGGGAGTTTATTAGGCGCGCCAGGCTGTGATCTCATTTGAATTTTTTTTGGATTATTTTCTTTAACACAATCACTTGAAGCTTTGTCAAAGAAGCTGGAGACTCTGGAGAATCAGCTGGTGCCAAAGTGACACCAGAAGGCCGATCCCTCACACTCGCAGGATCCTTCCGACTGTCCTCAATAACTTGTGCTGGAACATAAACTGGAACATAATCTGCTTTGTTATTCTGTATATATATTTGGAGGATTAATGCCACTGTAGCATAAAGTCACTTTTTTTTAATCAAATTAAAAAGTCCTTTCAAATATAAAATTTAAGTTGATCATTTTTAGAATTTTGAAAAAGTCTCAACAATTACATCTCTGTGTTAAAAATATGTTAGAGGTTTTCAAAGCTGCAAACATTAACTTACTAAAACCAAAAACACAGAATAAAAACATTTTCATTTCACTTCACTGAAAAGTTTTTTTAAGACACTTTTGTAATAAAATAAACCAATAGAAATGAATGTTTGAACATGATATTTAGGTCATTTGTTCCAATAGTTTCGGCTAATATAAGTTTTCTCTCTTGCCAGAGGATTCAAAATGCCATAATTAACAAAATGACAGATGCTACCAGCAGATAAATATTTATATTTCTGACAGGTTTTGTTCTCCTAACTTGTATTGGTCTACTTAATACATCAATAATTACTGCTTGTATAGAAGATGAATAAATATTTTGTTCCTCACATTTTTTGTTGTGTGCAATTTTTTCATTTAAATTTTTTATAAAATCTACTCATCGGTTTGTCAAAGCCATCAAATTAACTTATAATTGGAGACTGAACCAGAAAGAGGAAATTGAAGCCATTAAGCACAACAGCCGGCCAGCGGCTGGTCCCAGTGTTTAAGCCCCGCCCCTCCACATAAACAAGTGTGTCAGTTTTCTGACCATGAATTAAAAATACACATCAGGTGCGTTTTTAGATACTGATTTTTCTTGATTTACCTAGTTATTTAGTTGCTGTATGTTCAAATATGCATTTTTTTAAAGAATATTTGTCACGAACTGTGTCTTTGTGTTGGTTTTCTGTGATTCTTGTATTTGTTTCACTTTTTTTAAGCCTCCCCATTTAGTTCTCTGCTCCTGTCCCCCACCACACTCACCTGATCGTCAGTCTTTCCACAGGTGTTTGTCTTCCTTATCCAGGCGTTATGCTCCTCAAGTCATTCATGTTTTGCATCAGCTTTTTGGTTTCTTGTTTCTTTATTTTACCTTCGAGCTTCTTTGAGTTGTGTCTGCATCTTGGGTACCAAAACCTCACCAAACATGATAACGTTTAGTCTCAGTTGGTCATTGAAGGGTTAAAATGGTCATCTTACACTAATATGGCGGCTTGTTCAAGAGTTTGTTAGATTTGTAGACGGGACTTCAGCATCACGTCCTTTGTGCGCAGACTGACTCTAAAATCATGGCAGTGCCCAAAAGCGCTGACATTTTGGTTTAATTTCTGAACAACAGGAGAAAGTGAAAAAGTTCTGTTAGTATTTTATCTAGACTGACCCTGTTTTTTTTTAATCTACTCAGAGAAGAATTATAATGAAATTATGACCCGGTTCTGATTGGTTTAAACGGGGTCAGCAACTCTAAAAAGAGTCTCCCAGGGATTCAATCTCCGTCAAGGAATAGAGTTTTAATGTATTTATTTTCTTTATTGGCTTGCTGCATCACGTAGAAAGGTTTTTTCCTGCACCGTATCATTTTTCTTGACACGTCAGACCACATAAGATCTGTTGAGATCACACTTAAATCTGCTGTCCGGCCCCTTATCCACGTGACAGGCTGTGCTCCCCTCTGCGAAGGAAGAGTCTAGGCCCAATATATTTGTAATATTTGCCATTTGACATCCGGCCCTTCCGGTCCAGGATCTCGTGTTGTGTATCAGACAGACCAGCGCTGTAAACTGTAACCTTCTCCTGCCTTGATTTAATACAATTATTAGTAAAACTTAATTCATGTTTCCTTGATGTATTGACAGTGTGAGTTGCTACTTCTGAGGGAGATCCGAGCCTCGGGTCTGAGATGAGGCCTGAGGTCCACAGCTAGCAACAGCTAGCTACAGTAGCTCGGGGCTGCGTTAACTCATGTTGCAACAGTTCATTCATCTTTATTGTTGTCAATGGTCACAACAGAAAAAAGGGCTTTTTAAAATTCTTACTTCTGTAAATCTTAAAACATAAAAACGGTATGAAGATACTTTAAAGGTTGCCAATGCAAATAGCCATATTGTAAATTAGAAATTACATTTGTAACAGTCTAAGATGACCAAATGCAGATGTTTTGATATATAAACTGGATACAAAGGGTCAAAGGCAACCCTTTCATGCATAGTGGTCACTGCAGTGGACAGCTATTTTAAAAGCTATTATCTTGTACATGTATGAGTTTTTATGTTATTATTGCACATAGACAACTGTAGTGGACACTAGTGCATCATAAAATACACTGCCCTCTGCAGGCCATTTCTTGCAACTTCAGTTTTTTCCCCCTCAAATCCAAAATGGCTGACAGTCAGGAAACTTTGTCAAGATCCTTCTACAGTAGAAGATTCTTGCAGCTGAAAAAATATGTTAACAACAACTAGTAACAAATAAAGAGTAATGCTGTTGATGTATTTTCCAAGTATTGACTTTATATTGGGAAAAAAATATAATTGATCACCTGTCCACGCAATTGGACGCCATGTATCAGTGACCATATTTCAGCAGCAGTTCATACCATTACTCTGTTGTTCTAGAATATGCACCATGTGCAGTAAGTGTTTAGTCAGTAAATAAACTGACTTACATTTTTGTACATAATTTGAAAATTTTGTAAGGACAAAAAGTGCACTGTTGCCATTTTCTGAGTAAAAAATAAGGTTTTTATATTTTGTAACACTCAGAGTGTAGTGCGCAGAAAAGCCTACAAGATAATAGAGCAATTGCCTGATGACTCAAGTGAGAATGAAGCTGGAAGTGATGATGAGTGGCTGCCACAAGAAGAACAGGCAAATGCTAGCAGTAGTGACAATGAAGATGAGAATGATGACCTGTGATGATAATGTGTGATTACTGAGGGAAATCAAGATGGTGAGGGACATGACACAAAAACAAGCGTTGGTACAGCCAAGTGTTTTTTCACTTATTGGACCTGACTGTTGTCCATGCCTGGCACCTGTACAGGATGTCTGGGTTGGAGAAGATGGATCTTCTACATTTCAAGGCATCTGTAGCTCATGCGCTAATAAATGAGGGTTCCATACAGACACACATAAGAAGATGACCCACTGCCACCCCACCTTCATTAAAATGCAGAGCATATAGGCACCTCCTGAGACCAGGTTTCTGTTCCTCACTGACCACATGGAACACTTTATCATTCATATCACAGTACAGGAGCAGAAAGGTATGACGCATGGCGAGTGCAAATAATACACATTACCTTGACAAGACTACCTAAACGTATATGTGTGACATATTAAGCTCAATTCATTATATATATATATATATATGACACAACTTCTGTTGTGACTTGGTGCTATATATATATAGATATATATATATATATATATCAATAAACTGCAGAGCATATAGGTAAAGGTTGAGTGTATTATTTGCCCTCGCCACAGGCA